CCCCATCCGCTTTTAAGGTTCCCCCACCCCCACCCCCTTTTCACATGCACGAACACACACACATTAACACTACTACAACCCACGTTTTAATTCCCTGTCACCACTGACAGGGCCTCAGACACAATATTTAAATTTCAAGCTAACCTGTTTTCAACAGCTTCCTGTATCATCCAAAATTGACACCTTATGGCAAATTTTAAGCAAGTTTATCTACCAATAGTTAAGATAGCCTGTGGTTAATATTAAGTCCAATACGTTGGAGAGAGCAAAACTTCAATTTTTTCCCCACCAGCTTTACTATTGAGTTCTAGTTACTGACCACACCTACCATCCGTAACTTGGCCAAAACCTGTGAGAGATCTTGGATCATCTTTACCTGTTCGTTCCTGTGACACTGCTGCAGAGTCTACGACCTAACACGGATCTACTACTGCTGACGGGCCTGCTCACGGGAAAACGTCGCCATCCTGTCAGTAAATATCCAGATCTGATCGAATACACCGACCTCCCGACGCTCATCGTCACACACTGGTGATATGTGATGGCCTACTTATTGACTTGTACAAAGTAAAGGCAAAACGAAAATAGGGGCAAGGGCAGTAACTCTTACACAAAGTTGCACACCACAAATTGTATTACCGACTTTGATCGGATATATATTGTCAACAAATATTTTCTTTTTATACTTTTTTTTTAAGATTAGTCTACCAATTATCATTCTGTTTTGGAATACACAATTGCTTATAGTTAAGTGTATCATACTTAAATACAAGTATTTTTATATTATATATCAATAATAATTAGCACTGTCTGTTACAATAAAACAGGTATATCGCAATACACGGGTATATCGTATCGTATCACAATACACAGATGAAATATTGCTGTATCGTAAAAAAATTCAGTAGCATATTTTGATGTATCTGCTTGATGTTTTAACTTTGCAAATTACTACAAATTCTAACAGATATGCTAATAAGCATAAAGCAGGATTTTAATAGTTCAAATTTTGTAATCGATGGTTGGTTTGACAAAAAATTTAAATCTATGTAATCAATATCATATATGATTGAGTTTGATAACCCATGCTTCATCTATGATCGAGGTTTTGTTGGTGTAGCTTTGTCATGTCGCCATATTATTTTCACATCACATACTACATTTCATGAATGAACTAAATTAAGAAGTTTTTTTTCTAATTTCATATTTTGCTTACAATGAATATTCATTACCATTCAACCACGGAATTAGATTGTTATCTAAGTCTGTGCATTCAACATATCTTGTTAAAAAAATGTTTGTGTAAATAATGATACTGTATCGCCTTATGGAATCAAATGTGAAATCTTCTTTAATTAAGGTAATAGGTTTGTGTCACCATTTCTCAGTAGAATTTCTTAAAATTTTGTAGTTATATTGCTTTGAAGTAAGAAAATTTTCTGCCACAAAAAAAATATATAGGTTGTCAGAATTTTAAGGATTTTGAATGGAAATTTATGTAAAAAGGTTTGAATTTTGAAAATAAAATGGCTTTCAATAATGTCAATAAAAATGATACTGATATAGATAAGTATAGCATTAATGCATATCAATTAAATAAATGCTGAAATTGTGTAAAATAGATTATCTATAAACGATTGATAAAATACACATAGTAATTGCATGTAAGAGTTATCTTTCTTGAAAAACTTCACATCAATGAAATAGGTAGCCGGTTTCCTGAAGTACAGAAAAATGGACACATGTGCCTCATTGAGAGAAAAACAACTGAATTAATGTCTAGATTGCTTTGAAATACTTTAATATTGAGAGAACACACTGTTCTGTCAATAATAAATATACAATATTCAACTCATTAGAATATGAGGAAATTTTGACACTCAGTCTCCCTACATTGGATTTTCAACTAGGGATGTACTTTCTATTTCCGTTTATTCATACACTCATTCGACCTTAGTTTTAAATTCAGAATAGCTTTTGTTGCATAACACATCATTGCCATCGGAAATGTCAAAGAAATTATCTATAATCAGAGATTAAAGACAAAATCAATTCCAGAAAATGAACAAAAAGGACTCAAATATAAAAGGTTGCATTGTTTTTTTTATTTTCACAATTGCATTACAAAATTGCATTTAAATGTTTTGCATTGAAAAGTTTACACACAGGAACTAATGATATTTTTTTTAATTTGATGACAATCATATACCCACCGGTATTGTATGATCAGAAACATTCATGTTGAGACAATTTACCAAAGTTAATAAATTCTTTGCTTCAGGTAAATTTCTCTGAAATATGCTGAATGTTCCTTACACAATTACACAATTATGTTAAAATATCACATGAATTTGAAATTAGACATTTTTCAGTCTGTGCTGTACATGATATACTTTTATTACAATGGAGGCTATCAAGGTAAAGAATGAACAACTGTTGTGTACTCTTCACAAACTGTGAAGCATAAAAGGCATCATCAAAATTCATCGATGCTCCAGGGGTTACACTCACCTCCGCTCTCTACACCCCTGAAATATGTCATGACAAAATCGAAGGTTAAGTGTGCACCACCTTGTGGTACTCCTGTAACATAAGAGACCACTGGTCAGCCATTTTTTCTATCGGATATGATTTTGCTGACTGCCGGTGGATGAGATAAGAAGACTAATCTGATCCTTTGATGTACATTAAAAGAATATTGAATCTTGCTGTAGCGTAACAGTAATATTGAAGTCGGATGTTGCTCTTCTGTCATCTATAGGACAGGTATCAGCCTAGCAACTGGTCAAGTTTTTCTTACCTGAAACCATCAGATAGCTAGCAGTGTGCTATGACATGTTCCAGGGATGCAGAGAGCATAACTGCTGGAGTATTGAGGATGAGAAGGCATTCTTATATTTAGTTCATAGACAACACTGAACATCTAAATAAAGTAATTACTTTTCTCATGAAAATCTAGATTTGCTAGAAGAGAGATTTCAAAAACATACTTAATTTACAGCTAATAAAAAATATTTAGCTTTAAACTTAAAAAAGAGCTTGCAATATTATTAAAATTTGGTTTTAAATATAGGTACATATGTACCGTATATGAATGTATTTGTATACATTTCTCAGATAACTGACTTAGCCAAAACATGACATAACATTGAAACAAGACGACGGATACACTTGTAGTGTTCCAATCATACGTCTTAGCTACCATTACTACATATGTAACTCTATATATTTGGTATTCCGTCTTTGCATATTGCAGAGTTATCTTCTCTTGTGAGATGGTATTGATTGTTACGTCATTGGTTTGTGAGAGTAACGTCATCAATTTTTGAGAAAACGACCAATGACGTAACAATCAATACCTGCTCACAAGAGAAGATAACTCTGCAATATGCAAAGACAGAATACCCATCTGTTGGGATTTTTATTTATAGAAATCTTTGACCAGAAAGATAACTTGAAAACAAATTTACAAAATAATTATGAAACTGAATTTGTCCCATTTCCACTTGTACTCTTTATTTAAATTTGGTACCCATTGTTTAGGTCTATGGAGTTCTAGACTTAAAATCGTAACCAATCAAAACAACTGTGTTCTGAATGAAACAATACCTTGAAACTAAACATTAACATCTAAGAGACCTAAAAACATGATTAGAAACTGAAAAGCATGATATTTTATGGTACATAATATATCAAATATGTATATATGTAGAGACATACAAATTAAAATACAAAATTATGTCTTCCTTTTATACATGATGAAAATAATGCAGACTATTTATTTGGTACACTGAAAAAAACATTCAACATATGATTTGTTTCAAATGATAGTTAAAAATATGTCACATGATTTTCAAGAGAGAAGTTACAATAAATGTATCTGATGTAAGTTTTGCTGTTAAACGTGTATTAAGTAGACAGATGAGGGCGGTGCAGCTTCAAGCTTATTACAATGTATAGTAAATGATTTGTTTGACAGTGGTTACCACTGATGAGCTCTGGGTTATTGATGAGGGTCCCGGGTGATTAAGGATTGTTCCTGGGTTATAAAACATTGTCCCCATTTATTGAGGACCGTCTTATGGGTTCCTGAGGATGATTGAAAAAGTATAGAGGATGGTCCCAGGCTTACTGATAAGGATACAAGAAGTATTTAGGATGGTCTGCAGAAAAATAATGAAGATGATTCGATATGATTTAATATGGCACTGACATACTGCATAAAGGGAAATGTTCGGCCAAGAAATCAATTTTTGCTCAGTGTTGATTTCAACCTTCACATTTCACTGCTATGTTTATTATGTTGTTAACCTATATACACTGTAATGAAAAATTTGCCCTTGGTGGGCGAAAAAAGGCAAAATATATACAGTATTTACTTGTGTTTACCACACCATGTAAAAATACGAGCAAAACTTCACACTAAAAGTCAAACCACCAGAGATATCATAACTTGAGATACACGAACATTGGAAAAAATGAAAAGTCGAGAGAGAAATATACTACTTACATCACACATGTTTTATCTATCAATCCTGTGTTGTTGTTTTTTTAAATGAACAGTGCAAAATGATTTTCTTTTAACATTAATTTAGTTTTCAAATAAAAATATTCTAAAAATTCCTGTCAGAGTATACACTATGACTCATACTCAACAACTACAAATATAAGTAACCACTTTTTATATATTTCATTAAGAATTTTAACTGATGCGAATAATGATTATTCTGGGTGTAACACATAACTCAAACACACATTATCAAATCAAAATAAAAACTTTTTTTTTCATAAATGTTAAAAATCAAAATTTCGCTGTACGATAAAAAAGTTTGTTTTTTTTTGGTTTAAAATCAGTTCCCTTATACTAGTAAAATTGTGCAGTCACTAGAATTCTGAGGACTTTCATTTATAAATAGTACAAACAGCAACGTAAAAAAAAATTATCATTGCTTTTGCCATTTTATCATTTAACCATTAAAATATCAATGATTTATCAACACTCAACACAGCATCAGTTTGTAAACTTACTATATACTAACATATACCCAATAGGTAATAACATACAAACACATAAACAAAGGGAACATACAAAGCTGTCAACAAACACACACCCACCCCACCACCCCTTTAGGAGGGAGACTCCCTCATTTTGACCAAAATTTACCAATCTCCCTTGAAACTCCCCCATTCCAGTACAAACTCACACAAACTCAAAATCTACATCCTATGATCAAATGATCTAGTTATTGGAGAAATAAAATGAGCAAGGCAGTTACAGTCGCATTTCATGCACTTTCTCCCTCATGGGAGGTTTCAGATGTTGACACCTGAACATAACATATTACTTCACAATACGACAACTTAAAACAATTTAATAAAACATCCAATGTATAATTACAGGTGAATGAATGTCTTCGGACATGTCAATAAATTTACCAGGCATCAGGTGAATAAACTCATCAATAAAATTTTGATAAATATTTGCCAAAACACAATACATTTGTATTTTGCATTAACTTGTTTTCTGCAATCTTCATTAATTATGGTTACTTTTAATTGTTTTAAGTGGAATATTATTAGTCCAGAAGCTTGGTATGAAGTAAAGAATGTTTCTGACTTATTCAATGTCACCCTTGTAAAGTAATAGCTGTTTCCTACCGACTCGGCTAGGGAGAATTTCTCTTTAGGTCATTTGGTAGAGCAAAAGACTAGTAAACATGAGGTTCTGGGTTCAACTCCTAGCGGAGACATTGAAAAAAATAATTACCTCTGTAACAACAAGAATCATCCCCCTTCCCCTTATCACACAAAAAATATGTTTCTAGCTCAACTGGTCCATCATCAACTTTTCCTTTAAAGGGCTATTTTAGTATGAATATGAAACATTCATATTGAAAGTGTTTTAGTTTGTAAACCTATGTCAATGAGATAGAAAATCTAATGTGATGTTTACATCCAAGTAAACATCTAATCCATCAACAATATACACACTTATCTATTAAGATAATAAAAGTATGAATATGATATCTAGGGTAGTTAGGAATAGAATAATAGAGGTACTTTGTTAATGTGGTCAAATATCAAAGCAGTAGAATTTCCAAGATGGTGGACATTTCAATGAATAGTAGTGAATAGAGGCGTCACAATTCACCGCGATGCACTTGTACCGAGATTATTTATGTTCGATTCGATTCACGATATATTTTTCCGGATTTTCGATACGTCACGATCTGAATCTTAGTGTATGCTGCTCCAGCTGAAACGTCTGTGAGACGTTCAATTTCATTGGCTGATCTCTAAACCCTCAGCCAATCGGCTGCGAGGATACAATTTTCACAAAGTATTCATAACAAAATGGCGGACCGCTGTAAGGAAATGAAAATTTGTGATGCTCCGGCAAGCTTCAAATCAAAAGTGTGGAAACACTTTGGGTTCCCGTGTATCGACGGCTTATATATCTCATTTTGTTTATATTTTAAAATAAAGGTGTATCGAATCAAAATAATTGAATCATGGTACAAACATCGAGATCCGTATCGAATCGTGGGTAAAGTGTATCGTGACAGCTCTAGTAGTGAACAGGGGGAATACTCACAATTAAGTCTCTTCTCTCTACTTTTGGTGGGTTTTTTACTAGGGGTGGGGCTTATTTGCAGTCAAATACGGTAATCACACCACTAAGTGTATGGAATATACAGCTCAAGTTATTTCCCTTGCCTACTGTCTACAAGATTCATAAATCAAAAATGATCACATGATTTTGAAAAAAAATAATAATAATAATAACTAAAAATATCACAGAACACACAAAACTATGGATGCTGATATGAAGCACCAAATATGTTTTTAAAAACTTCTGGTGGCACTTATTAGCTCCCATACACACTATGCAATACAATGTATAAAGAGAGTGGTTTTCCTCCACTCTGGTCCTGGGTAAATATAAGTGCACTTAAAAAACATACACGTACAAACATATATAATTACACTTAACTACTGTGTAACATTTCTTACTAGAATCCAATGGCTCATATAAAACCCCATCACACAAGTCATGGCAATTTTCTTCTCTGTATAGTCTGGATTGAATAAACGATTTTCAAAGATGAATGAAAGAGGAATAATCAGTATAACAACAAAGATTCAGGTATTACAGCAGTTAAGACAATTGTAACCTGAGTTTTGGTAATTATTGGAGATGTGATGTGCCATTTTTAAATGAAGGTAGTTTTACTAAACATCGACAAAAATGAAGAAAGTCAATATCAGAAATAGTTAAATACATTAAAAATGTAGACATTTCTCATGGCCCTAACAGAATCTTCCTTTTTGATATTTTCTCTCACAATCACAACAAAATCACACTAGTTATAAACAATGCAGATTTTTTACATTTCTTACATAAAAGGTCTCCCTTTTTTCGGAGGAAAACTCTCAATTCATTTTTGATTTTTGAAATCAGCAGAACTTCTCAATCCTTCTTTTTGCTCAAATGCAATGAAATCATTACATGTACTTTTCAGAAAATTTCATATTTGCCAAATTGCTTGTCCGAAAGAAAAAATTAGAAAGGTTGGCAAGTGTACTGTTAGCAATGTTTCCAGAGTGGGCGGTCATAGTTTTGCAGAAGTGGACGTCATGTATTCCAGAAGTTTTCCCAGCTCACTAAGTGTGTCCATCATGGCGTCTGCAAACTTTTCGGCATTTGTCTCCTGACTGACACTCCATGACGTTATCACAGGAACAATTCTAAAACACAGTCAAAACTGTCTTATAGCTTTTAACCCATCCCCCCCCTGAAATTTCATAATGAAATATTCCAACCTTTGAATTGGAAGAGTTCAAACGTGTCTTCAGGGTTGATTGAGTTAATGTCAAGTCATCTGAATGTTAATTTGATGTCAGTAGTTCAATTATTTTAATGGTAATAGCACAATTCAGGTATCTTGTATGTCAGATATTCATCTCTTATTTTTGAAGAATACAAGATAGAGAAGTTTTCCCCGGAATAATTATTCATGTCTCCTCATACTGTGACAGGTATGATAAAGTCTTAACCAGTCTGCAGATCAGACAAACTGATTTCAAATGTAGTGGCTATGATATTTTTACCTTTTTTATTTTTCATTCTGCAGAGTTTTAATCATTTTCTAAAATACTACATGTATTGCATTCAAAATGAGCTAGTCTGGTGCAATGCTCTAACCCTTAAACATGATGGACTAAACAATACTTAATTATAACCCCATGCTGTGATGGATTTAACTTATTTTAATCAATAAAAATATATTTTGATCCTTGAAGTGTAGCAGATACAATTCAGTATATCTGATCAAAGGGAACATGATTCTATTTCTGTTCATTCAATCAGCTGGAAAGTTTGCCTGCTATTTTCGGAAAGGGCACCTGAGCAGGAATTGGGAAAATGTCATCGGCATTTGGCAAAAATTGGAAAATTTCATCAGTGTTCCCACATGTACAGGTTTGGGAAAAAATAAAACCTACAATGTGATTTGCAAAAAGGTTTCCTCTAACTGTTTCTTACAGTAAAATGCATAGCAATAAATAAACACATCATTTTTCAGAGTTTTTTGTTACATCAATTTCAATTATTTATGTATTTTGAATGCTCCTTCATGGACGGCAATACTTTGAATGTTGCTCATATAACGACGGGAAACTTGTGTAAACATACTTATTCATCCAATTGGGAAAGAAAAGACCGAAATCGGGAAAATGATATTGGTTTATATGAACACCTGGCAAAAACCCTGATCAGACTAAACAAACATTTATATATTTTGGCCATAAATGCTGTAACTAATGAGAGCCCTACAACACCATTCTATGTAATTATTACCAAATAAGGTGCCTTACTTTTCCTGCTCAACTCTGTAGAAGGTCCCGTACCCGTCCTGTACCATTGGGGCCACAGCTCCGTAGCAAGTTGTGTAGCCGACGAAACTAGTGGACAGGACAAAGTTACCTCCCCCTCCGCTGTAACACAAATTAAATATATTGTAGTTAACAAGTACTTCACAATGCATATTGTAGTAGTACTAAATTATCTCCCCTTTACATTTAACAAGGATTTCGTACCATTGCCAAAAACTGTAACTAAGGCCCCTTTCACTTATCCAAAATATCTCCAAACCTTGGGATGATATTCTCGAATGTTTTACCTTTGCCAAAGCCTCTGGTAAGACAATCAAGATTGTTACACCTCAAGTGAATTTCTAGCTATTTGATTGGTCGGGAGAAAATTAAACAAAAATCTCTGTCACCCTCCGAAAATACATTGGTTTTAAGGGGCGCGGGTGATTTTGCCATGTGACAGTGAAAAATATCACATGCGCAAAAAATGTGCGTGCACCGCTTCGTTTCCCCACCGTGATGGTCACAAGAACGTTTGACAGAAACAGCCAATTTCATCAAGCGCCGGTGCGATAGCGATTGTAAACAGCAGACTATCAACAAACAAGATGTCATTATCGAGGTTTGCTGCCGTTTCTGAGCTACATTGACTTTTGGTGTAACAAAATAGATATGACATTCATTATTTATATAATATCATCTCTCGGGTTTGAGAATTCTCTGTCCTACCCTCAAGGTAGGGAAGATTCTATTAGTCTCCTGTTTTAAAGAGATCAGCTTGTCACCCCCTAGGGGAAGATAGCCTTGTGCAGAAAAGCACATGCTACATTGAGACGTCATAAAAATTGTATGGGGATCGTGACGTCATAAATTGGTGAATGACAAATATGCTTTTCCTTACATATATGACTACTGTTGGTCGAGTTGTGACTAAAATAATAGGATTGGAGAAAACAACTTCTCCCACCTTGAGGGTGTGACAGAAATCTCCCACCCTTTGGGTGATTATGTGCTTGTATACTTCTCAGCAGAGCCTCAGGTTGGACAACCAAATAAATACACACACCCAGATTGGAGATTTCTCTATCACACCCTCAAGGTAGGGGAAGATTCTATTTTAGTCAACATTAAATTTTGTGTTGTAGGTTAAGTATAAGTAACAGAAGCTTTTGGGTCACTGTTCCTTCAAATCAAAACAAAAAGGATGACATATGTCTCAGACATCTGATAGTGTGTTCCTACAAGTTGTCAGACATTATGATGTACCGGGTAGGTGATTAATTAGAATCTTCCCCACCTTGAGGGTGTGACTGAGGAATCTCCAACCCGGGGGATGATGTTCTTGATTGTCGTACTCAAGGCTTTGCCGAGGGTAAGACATTCGAGAATATCACCCCTCAGGTTGGAGATTTCTCAGTCACACCCTCAAGGTAGGGGATGATTGTTTTTTCTCCCATCCTGTTTCACTCACAAATCTGCTGACAAGCAGTGATTGCATGAAATATAAGCCTTGATGGCATGCTTTTGCAGCAAATTCAGAGTTATCTTCCATGGTCTGCTACTGCATTGATGACGTGACGTCCTACTATTGTTATGACTTAGGTCGCACCATTCTGCACAAGGCAATCTCCCCCTAGGGGGGTGACAAGCTGATCTTTTCCGGCTTAAAAGGGAGACACACCTATGATGGGTGGGAGAAAACATGATCTTTCATACTTACAGAACCTACTACTTTTATCCAGTAATTGTGTTTTTACATGATCAAAGACATGAACAATTAGAGAAACTAAAAATACCAACACTAGCATATAGAAGATCCTTTGGCGACATGATAGAGGTCTACAAAATATTGTAGGAAATATGACTGAGAATTATCCGACATATTTAAAACCAGGGAAAGTTCATCTACACGTGGACACAACTTAAAAATTTACAAATCGCATTCAAGATTAAATATTAAAAAAATGGTTTTCACAGAGAACTGTTAATTTATGGAACAAACTGCCATCTAATGTTGTTAATTCAAGCACAGTTTAACAATTTGAACATGACCTAGATGAACACTAGCAAAACCAAGTGCAGATATACAGTTTTAAAGACAAAATTATCGTCTAAATGTCACCTTTTTTATATATGCTTTTATCTTATTAGTTTTATTTCAGCGCTGACTGTCAAAGGATTGTAAAATCCTAATATCGTCAGAATAAAATCTATGTTTCTATGTATAAAGGTATATATCTCAAGTTTTTCAATGCATGGCAGATAAAAGACTGGACGTCGCTAAATCACAAACCTCTTTTTGTAGGATATATCCTCATACAACAAAGGGGTGGGCAGTCCCTCCTCCTTGGCGATCAACATCAATCCTAAAAGGTGGCGGTCACATCCTGTAGACAAAATAAAAAAATAAGGACAATAGTTATATAGATGTATACAACGAGACAACAGTTACCTATGGTCAGAAATACTTAATCTAAACAATTACGATGGCATCAAAATGTGTTTTTTGCAAACATATTCTCTAAAATACAACTGGGTTTCATATCATTATCAATGCTTAGAATACCTATTAAATCCTTTCATTTACCTTCAAAACAAAAGGAATTTCGATTTCAGTTTTCATTTAGAAGTAATTTGAAATATTTAACACATTTGACCCCAGTAACCTTAAAAGTTGGTCAAGTTATTTTTTTTGAAAAAAGATAGCACTTCATCACAGCAAGCTACAGTCACAAATATAACCCATCTGGGCATCATGGTTCTTCAGATGATGTGTTTGACTTTTTTATCAGCAGATTAAATTTGTTTTACGCTGGTTTATTACATCATATGGACATATCATACCCTGTAGTTTGGTCGCCTCTAACATCAGCTGATTGTGCTTGTCTGCTGCACGAAGGTACAGCCTGAGCTTCTTCTCTTTCTGAAACATTCATAATACATTTCATTAATAAACACAAATATAACTAAAAATACCATTTTCCTTTGATAAATGTGGTGCTTCATAACAATTACATGTCTGCTGATTTTGACATACAGGTATAGCACAAAAACAAAAGTTTGTTGAATTTTTTCTAGAGACAAATTCAGTGGAATTAGATTTCCAACAAAACCATTATTAATCAGTTATCCCAACCATCTCTCTATCATATGGAGAACAACTTGCCTTGTTGATATTTTGCTGATTTTTTTCTTGCTGTGGTCATAATGCAAAATAAACCCTCTCTGAAACATGATCTGTATTTTATAGGGGTATCCATAAATCACTTCTCAAAATTGTATTTTCAGAAAATTCTTTTATAACACAATCAAGAGGATATTAAATTTGTATCAATTTTGAATGTTTCTTTTTTAAGTGTGTCTCATTAATAATCATGTGATATTTCAATTCACAATCATGTTCGCTCGTAAACTGTTGAAATAAATAACAAATAGGTCTCACAATAGAAATGATTCAGTTACCCTCAGTATATGTTACCCTCAGTATGTTACCCTCAGTATGTTACCCTCAGTATATGTTATCCTCAGTATGTTACCCTCAGTATATGTTATCCTCAGTATATGTTACACCCAGTATATGTTACCCTCGGTATATGTTACCCTCGGTATGTTTTACCCTCAGTATATGTTATCCTCAGTATGTTAACCTTAGTATATGTTACCCTCAGTATATGTTACCCTCAGTATATGTTACCCTCGGCATATGTTACCCTCGGTATATGTTACCCTCAGAATATGTTACCCTCGGTATATGTTACCCTCAGTATGTTACCCTCAGTATATATTAACCTCAGTATGTTACCCCCAGTATATGTTACCCTCAGTATATGTTATCCTCAGTATGTTACCCTCAGTATATGTTACCCTCAGTATGTTACCCTCAGTATATGTTACCCTCAGTATATGTTACCCTCAGTATGTTACCCTCAGTATATGTTACCCTCAGTATATGTTACCCTCAGTATGTTTTACCCTCAGTATATGTTATCCTCAGTATGTTACCCTCAGTATATATTAACCTCAGTATGTTACCCCCAGTATATGTTACCCTCAGTATATGTTATCCTCAGTATGTTACCCTCAGTATATGTTACCCTCAGTATGTTACCCTCAGTATATGTTACCCTCAGTATATGTTACCCTCAGTATGTTACCCTCAGTATATGTTACCCTCAGTATATGTTACCCTCAGTATGTTTTACCCTCAGTATATGTTATCCTCAGTATGTTACCCTCAGTATATATTAACCTCAGTATGTTACCCTCAGTATATGTTACCCTCAGTATATGTTACCCTCAGTATGTTACCCTCAGTATATGTTACCCTCAGTATATGTTACCCTCAGTATGTTTTACCCTCAGTATATGTTATCCTCAGTATGTTACCCTCAGTATATATTAACCTCAGTATGTTACCCTCAGTATGTTACCCTCAATATGTTACCTTCAGTATATGTTACCCTCAGTATGTTACCCTCAGTATATATTACCCTCAGTATATGTTACCCTCAGTATATGGCCAGCCGTTTTATAAGAGAAGTATGTATTATAACAAGTGTTTCTTACCTCACTCATTCTTCCACATTAACATGAAAGTCTTGAAAAAAAGTCTAAATATGTAGATTAAAATTCAAATAGTACATTAGAATGTGACCACACCTTCCCTCAGAATGTCGAGGAATACCGCTACAGTAAAGCTGTTTACTAATACATCTAGGTCTACCAAGCTGATGTGTAATGAACTCGTGAGCTATCAAAAACACCTTCCCACAGTAAGAAGTTGATAGGTATGTAATAGAAAAGGCTCTGCTTACCGAGGCCATTGGGTCCAGCATGACCTTACACCAATCAACGAGCTCCACTGTACAAGAGCGTAGGGTCTCTGTGCGAGCTCTGTAGAATCTACGTGTAGTAGCTGTCTCGTAAGTAGGAGCGGGCCTGAGTGAATCAAACACATGAAATATTATAGCTAATAAAACAGAGCATCACTGGGACTAACATTTGTAGTGGGACATGTTGAAACAGAACACTGTTGTTAATTACATGTATTTATTATACCTTTATTATTTCTCATAAAGGTCCTGAAAGGTCTGGTTATCATTTCAGAAATGATCTATCAGAGAGAGCAAACCTAGTGTCTATGTCTGGGGCACAGCTCTGCTATGACTTTGGACAGCGATCAAGACAATCTTGAAAAAAAAAAATACTTTAAATCATAACAAGTATTCTCAGACGTCAATCTAGATCCTCCTACTTCCGCTTATCTTCTGCTTATCTTTCTCTTTTCTTCACTATCTATTTAAAAAATGTTTAAATTAAAGACTAGTTGGACTCTAGCTTGATTGTAAATACATTGTATGTATTACCCTGTTACAGGAAGGGATTCAATAAGCTGGTGCGACCTTCGTCTAATCCGTTTATAAATAATTATGCAATAAAATTTGTTTAAACTAATAAAAGCTATAGTCATGCTGGAGAAAGAGTTACAGTTCTTGGCAGTGGTACTGGGATCCTTAAGTCATATTTTTGATGTACCAATATTTCTAGTGTCAATGCAGCTATCAATATATCAATATAAAACATCAAAAGAACATGTCAGCAAAAACAAATTCTAATTCATTTGAGATGTAACACGACATCTGATTGGTCGATCAAAATAATTTGCAACAGTATAACCATGATATACCATCTGCATATGAAGCCCGGATGGCAAAGTGTTAATTCCGTCGATGACCCCGACTGAGCCTGACACGTCATGAAATTGATTATTCATGATGTCAGGAACAATAGCGTGACCCCGAAATGTCAATGAAATTCTGCCTTACTTTGAATATTCCTCATGTCACCATCCACAGCGCTAGCAGAGTGACTCAGAAATATCTTACAGTTGTCGTTTCTTTCAGTGATTTTGGCTGATATGAATTAAATGGGGATAACCCTACTGTATTTTGATATGTCAGAGGTATATTGTGATTATACTGTTGCAAATATTCAATTTGCAACACTATAATCACGATATACCGCCGCAACTTTCAATATACAGTAGGCTTATCCCCTAAATATTTTAAACTAAAAACCCTCTGAATAAATGAAACTGAATCTGTTTAAGTCTTTACTTTTTATGCATCTTGTAGTAGGCGTACTGCATAGCAAGTTGGACATGAGTGTCTGGGTGGAGTTTTTTGGACCGGAGATACTTCTTACCATAACCCTGGAAATGTTTGGCACAGCAACTTAAATTGGATCCCTGAAAAAACAACACATTCACTGGAATACAAAATGTTAATAAAGTGAACATATTAATTAGAGGTAACCATATGGTTATTTCCATATCCTACTCTGTATTAGCCGTGGGACCGGGGCCACAGGGCTGATATGGGTCTCGGGCTGGTACAGATAAGGATATGGAAATGGTCATATGGTAACCTTTTTATCATCTACTGCTCTATAAAATCAAAGGCATAAGCAATAATACATAAAACTGGCAGAAAATCGATATTTCATGAGCTGAACTACAATCACATTCTACCTTAAACCAGAACTGTAAGCTAAAGGCTAACTAATACCCCCACTCCTATATAAACCAGAACTGTAAGCTAAAGGCTTACAAAGGCAAAGCAATATAGTCTCCCACCAGTAACAAGTATTTCGCACAAAGTGGCATAACTCCACTAAAAATGGTCAAAATCCCAAATTAAAATGCCGGTGCACATCTACATAAGACATCGATCATTCATGCAAAGTTTCACTGAAACTCACCTGTTAGTTAAGAAGGATTTGCGCGGACAAGTATTTCGCACAAAGGGTCATTACTCCATCAAGAAGGGTCGAAATCCCAAATTAAAATGCTGGTGCATAACTAAATAAGATACCAATCATTCATGCAATGTTTCAATGAAATCCACCTGTTAGTTAAGGAGGAGTTTTCCGGACAAATTACTGTGGACGACAGACAGACAGGGTGATTCCAGTATACCCCCCCCTAAGTTCGTTGCAGGGGTATAATAAAACACAATGAACAGAATAACAAATACAGACAAATAGCAGTGTGTACACTACCATCTTGAAGCGTGATTTTTTCTGAAAAGTGTTGAACTAGACTAGACATTGAACGGATATGGTGCGTGACAGGTGGTTACGCGTTCATCTGGGATATGGCCTAGGCACAGGTAGCAGTATTACACATGCAAAACGAACCATATCACGGGCATGCCGCAAGTATATGATAGAAGAAATTATCTGATTTCAAATACATTATTTACTACATCTAACATCAGATACTTCAACTATGATATTAAATTATGCAAATTCACCTTGCAAATATTTTTACGTTGATTAAATCATTGATTGTAGATAATACACACCAGATAAGGTGGTGTCTAAAAAAACAATCTGATCTCAAGGTAATCCACATGATTTCAAAACATAGTTATGTATTAAAAATTAATACACAAAGTTCTATAGCCGTAAAAATTAGCTACAATAATTTACTTTCAATGTAACAGAGAGATAGACAATCACATATTCGGAATGGTATCCATCAGTTTGGTATGAATAATAAATGCCAAGTTTGTTTTGAACACAAACAGAAATTGAAAACTAATTTTGCAGGATTTTGAAAGACATCCATTTCCTTTGTCAAATAATTAAGAGTGTTAGTGGCCCTGGTCTCGCTAAGCCACAGTGTGCCGAATCAGTTAAGTCAGCTATCAGAAAATATTGTGACATTTTGTCAAATAGCACTCTAATACTGCAGGCAGTCAGGGGAACAGGTAACATGTTTACCCATTCCGCCCCGTAGTGGATCACAGATCACCTGGTACACATATCACTCGCACTGACAATGCTGGGGTACTTACATAAGCTAGGGTACACATATCACTCACACTGGCAATGCTGGGGTACTTACATAAGCTAGGGTACACATATCACTCACACTGACAATGCGGGGGAACTTACATAAGCTAGGGTACACATATCACTCACACTGACAATGCTGGGGTACTTATATAAGCTAGGGTATACATATCACACTGACAATGCTGGGGTACTTATATAAGCTAGGGTACACATATCACTCACACTGACAATGCTGGGGTACTTACATAAGCTTGGGTACACATATCACTCACACTGACAATGCTGGGGTACTTATATAAGCTAGGGTACACATATCACTTACACCGACAATGCTGGGGTACTTACATAAGCTAGGGTACACATATCATTTACACTGACAATGGTGGGGTACTTACATAAGCTAGGGTACACATATCACTTACACTGACAATGCTGGGGTACTTATATAAGTTAGGGTACACATATCACTCACGATGACAATGCTTGGGTACTTACATAAGCTAGGGTACACATATCACTTACACTGGCAATGCTGGGGTACTTATATAAGTTAGGGTACACATATCACTCACACTGACAATGCTGGGGTACTTACATAAGCTAGGGTACAAATATCACTTACACTGACAATGCTGGGATACTTACATAAGCTAGGAACGTTTGTCTCGCCTTCGTGATACCCTCTCGGATGACATCATCAATGTGGAACACCAACTCTGCAGGCTTGGCAAAATCGCGAACTTGCATGGAGCCCTGTAAACAAACAGAAAGGCTGTTGTTTTCTCGCTTCTGTCTTTTTCGCTGTTCAATGAGTTAATACTAAACTATGAGAATTATTAATAATTACTAAAACACAAGAGAAGTATTATTTAATTAATAACTACTTTAATGCTAGTCAATGAGAAATCTTGCTTCACAGGGAGATCGCTTTTTGTTACCAGCGCCGTCTCTATAACACAAAGCAGTTCAGATGACAAATTGTTATTTTAAGTTCAGAGAAATTAAATCAAATTTGAAGTGCTATAACACTGAAATATCTTAAATTTCCCCCCACACACAGAAACTTAAGATAGAATATGAAACCACATTGTAATCCTCCCATATTCTCTTTTTCAAATTACAATGACTTTATGGTGACAGTACCTGTACTATACTTAAAATCCTAGGTTTGACGGTGCTTGCTAATAAATCTCATCAACACGGAAGATCTCATATATTCCAATCTCATTATTACAATACTAATTTTAACAAAATTTATTCATTATGTCCCTCACTTCATATACATATTTCATGATAAATCAATTTTTATGGGGGGGGGTAGTTTTTCCAATATATTTCAATACAAGAATTCCGTGAAGTGGATGTGTCGCCTGCGCAGGAAGGTGGGAGATTACGAAGAAATAGATATAATTTTCATTTCAAGTGAGCAATAATCAAAGATTATGTTTTTGGATGGCATCATTTTGTTATATAATCTGTTATTCTGGGAAGAATACTCTGAGTTTAAAGGAACTTGCTGTGGATACTCATTGTCTCAATTCCAAGTTTAATTTGTATGATTTTTCGGATGGTTTCCCATAAATAAATGAATAAACTTGTGAATTATGATGTTAAACAGCTAGTGTTGTCAATAGCATTTGGAGTAAGACAGCATTTCAGAGGTATACACGGTGGGTCAAGTGGTAGATCGAAGCCGTCCAGTATAGTTTTAGTGAAGTTTCTATCTATAGTAACAGTGACCTTGACCTTTGACCTTCAGACCTGAAAAGCAATCCCAAGCAAGCACTTTTGGTAAGGAAGCACTGCATGAAGTTTGAGTTTGATTGGCCCAAGGAAACTCAAGGTATTGCACGAAAACAGATTTTCTATTTATAGTAACAGTGACCTTGACCTTTGACCTTCGGACATGAAAAGCAATCCCAATCAAGCAGTTTTGGTAAGGAAGCGCTGCATGAAATTTTAGTTTAATCGGCCAAAGGAAACTCAACTTATTGCACGACACAAAAATTGATTCTTTTTGTCCCTCACTTCATACATAATTCATTTTTATAGTCATTGGAACTTTTTCATGCTTATTGAAAGATAAAATTTGTATAGGTCGGTCCCTATCAAATCATGAAAATTCTTAAAGCACTGTACAAAAATAGATCTGAAATAACAACATTTATCAAATAAAAATATATAAAATTCATTGTAAGAAAAACAGATATCTGTGGTCAAGTCAATACTGGCAAATTCTCAAGAGCAAGTATGAGAGCAGGTATGAGTGTAGGTTTAAGGATGTGCTCAACATGTAACTGAAGGATGTGCTCACCATGTAACTGAAGGATGTGCTCATCATGTAACTGAAGGATGTGCTCCTCATGTAACTGATGGATGTGCTCAACATGTAACTGAAGGATGTGCTCACCATGTAACTGAAGGATGTGCTCAACATGTAACTGAGGAAAGTCTCATATATACGGAAGGTCAATATTTCTATGATCACTGCTAAATAATTGTACTCACAGGAGGGAAAAGATAATAACATACCTGCCACTTTCCTTTACACCGTAAAATATTGAGATCGATGTAGAATGTGCTGGAGACAACTATCATGGCGTCCATTGGGGCATGCTGCGACAAAAAACAGTCAACAATCATACTCATACAAATGTACAAGAAATTGTAAAATAAATACCAGTCACACATAGGATGAAACTGAAAGATTCTTTTTACTTTCTATAAGACACAAACATTAGTTTTGTCATTTGATTCATGAATTTTATAACTTCTCACAGTTTTTGGACCCCGGTAATTGTACTGCATTTATTCAGCAATAAACCTATGCCTCGTCAGGGCTAGACAGTTAAGGTAGCCTGATAGTACAAGACTAGTGAAATCCCAAAAACAATTGTGGAATAATATTGGGTAAGTTGAATTTTCACATGAACTAGTAAAAATTGGAAACAGTTACTACCCCAATTGACTTGTGGTATTCAAAAAATTAATTTCTAGCCCTGCTGGTAATAAGCCCACCCATGTCATATAAAGTCCATCAGAAATACCCTCCAATGATATCTCGCTCTCCTACAATACAGCCAACCCTCTACTTTAAGTCAGAGTTTGTGTGCTGTCCTCCTGGGCTTATCGTAGGATAAATACTGTACGCCTCATCAATATCACATCAACAATACAAAATGTTTTCTTACATCACAGTTGGATCCTGCCAGTCCATTTTTATAGAAAATGAAGACAGAAGATTTGTCAAACCAGCGATCTCGAGGGTCACCAGCCAGGGACATTTCAAACACCTATAAATAATGTAATAACAATAATATTATCAGTAAAGTGGTCACACAGCTTTGCAAATAGGGGGAAGACAGCTTAAATTGGAATTAGAATCCAGGGGAATGGATTCAGTTATCTGTGTGAGTACATTTTTTGTTAGAAAAAGATACAGGTTTTGTAGCTAGGACAACATGGAACGAAAGGCTGAGTTTGGAAGTTTGCTGGACTCATTCAGATAAGATTTAACAGGTCATACATTAACTATTTTAATACCTGTATCCAAAATACTTTTCTCAGCATCGGTCATGCATTACAGCATAGATATGAATCAAACGTACATTGGACTTGTCAGTACAGTCTTGACTGTACCTGTAACCGAGGTAACTTACAGTGGACTTGTCTGTACATATAACCATGGTAACCATACATTGGACTTGTCTGTACATATAACCATGGTAACCATACATTGGACTTGTCTGTACAGTCTTGACTGTAC